GGGCGGGGCCGGAGACAGGCCACACCCACTTCCGCCCCTCTCGTGGGGACAGTCGGGCAGTAGAGATTCGCGCGTGGCGCGATCAGACGGCTCCTCCTGCCTCTTCTGTGAGGGCGGGTCTGTGGGAGGCCGCAGGCCCCGTTTCCTTGCCGACCAGGAGCTGCACGCGTGTCCAGCCCTCGCCCGGGCTGCACGAGCCCAGCTTGACCTGTGCTACCTTATGTGGTGCCGCCCAGGGCAGAGCTGCGGCAGGCTGGCGGGGCTCCGCCGCCCCCAAAAGGGCCATTGCAATGTCCGGGAGTATTCAGAAGGGAATTTGTACGCACCACGGAAAGGGGCATCGTGCCCCTTCTTAAACCCAGGGTGCCGCCACCCCTGGAGGAGGCTGCCCAGTTCCGGTCCGTCCCCCTCACGCCCCTCAGAAAGGATAGAAAAGGACAACGGGAAGGTCTGGCGGTGTGGAGGGTAGAGTGGGCAACCCTCCTCCCGGAGTGCCCCGGAGTCTCCAGGAATTGGAGAGAAATCTCCAGGAGGCTGCTGAGAGCCACCAGGAGATAAATGCCAGGGCATTCGTGAAACTAAAGATGACAAAAAAGCCAGAAGGGAACGACAGTGCCTGAGCGAGGGACGAACATAAGAGGGATGGGAGCGAGGACGGGAATGCACGTTAAATCTGATTTATGCAGTTGTCCAGCAGGTTTTTAAAATGTAATAGTCATGTGCATTTGCCTTCCCAATGTCAAGCCACGAATGGCATGACGTCATGTGATGAAACCTCGCAGAATAGATTCAAACAGTCGGCATCGCTAACGGAGGGGCATACACATGAGAAACTAAAGAGGCGAGGCCTGTTCCGCTTGGAAGAGACACTCAAGGCGGGACGTGACCAGAGTTTACAAAACACTAAATGGTGAAAAGAAAGTCAGTAGGGATTCATTATTGGCTTGCTCTCACTGTATAAAATTTGGAGTTACAAGATGAAACTGGTCAGCAGAAAGTTTAAACCTAGCAGAAGGAAGTTATTTTTCACACGGCGCGTCATTGAAGGGGGGTACTCGTCGCCACCGGGGGTGCCGGAAGGTGGTTCCAAAAGGGATTGGATATGTTCTTGGAGGAAAGCATGTGTTGAGTGTGGGAGTTGAAGCAGCTGCTGAATTAGAACTTCCCCCCCAATCTTAAAAGCTGGAGGTTGCAAGTGAGAGAGGAACAGTGCGGAAAAAACCTTGGTCATACCCATTCCATTCTCCCCCTCAGCATCCACTCTCTGCCCCTGTGTGACAAAAGAGACTGGGCAAGACGGACCTATGGTCTGATCCAGTAACTGGCAATTCTTATGTTCTCCCCTCTGCTTGAATAAAAAAAAAGGGGGCTCTATTTTGAGTCAAGAGGCCTGGCTATGAAAGTCCAGAATATGCACTGAGAAATGTGGGCTACATCCCAATAAAGGGGCAGTTCTTTCTGCACAGAAACAACTCTGCATTCAAGAGGCCTTGGAGAGAACTCCTTGGGCAAGTGACACTGTGATCAGCTCAACTATTGTTCCTCTGACATCAACTCCACATGGTAAAAATATGGTCCCTAATTAAACAGTAGTTCGAAAGTAGAAACTAGGCTGTGGATTACAATGGTGCATGTCCTCTCAGCTGATTGTCAGGCAGAGCCACGATGAAGCTGTAACTGTGGCATTTTTAATCACCCGAAGGTATCTTCAAAGCTACCAGACCTTGACTGCGGCTGCTGCTTCCTTGAAGGAGTGGTGAGCTCAGTTAGGGAGACAGCCTGACAGCATACAAAAGACAGAGAGAGGCCTGGCTTAAAACTGATTTTAATGAGGCAGGTTTTACTAAGCTGAACCATGACATTTAACTTTACTTCAACCAGGATTCATTTCAAACAATATAGGTGACATTTCTGTCACTAATCAGTCTTCATTATAACTATTTTTGGCAGCACTTAGTTCTGAACCCTGCCACCTAGCAGAAACTTACTGACACAGGTCTTCTGGCAACTAACTAAAACAAAACCGCTGTGCTATGCTGGTTTGCGCCGCTCTGGAGTCTTTCAGGTGGTGACCAAAAATCACTTGCCAAACATGGATTGTTCAAGACACATAAAACCCCAGTGAGACAATGGTATTATTACAGCCCTATGTAATCTGAACAAGAGAAGAATAAGAGGTTACTTGAAGCTCAACACTGTCAGTGGCGGGATCTGCAACATAACTTTGGAGAGCCATTGAAGTTAGAGATGGAAACATTGTATTGAATCATTCCTGTCTTTATAGAGTTTTTTCTCCCCAAAGCACTTTCTAATATTTTTTCTCATCTAATCTAATCTAATCGAATCTAATCTAATCTAATCTATCATTAACATTTCAATGCAAGTGCCTGGTCCTGTAAGGAATACATGTGTATACATATTGCTTATATGGATTACAGGTAGCTGTTTTGATTGAAACCCTCAAAATGGAGTTATATCTTTCAGAGATGACCGTGAGAAACAATTAAAAGGGTTACATATTAACATCTTGGTTTACAGATAACTAAGGGGAGACCCTGATAATAGCTTATGCTGTACACTGTAGGAAGAGGGGGAAAAGAGGGAAAAAAAATCTGATAATACAAGAGGGGATTACAAGAAGAAATGAGCTCAAATTAAACATGGGAAAAGTAAAGATGAATATCAGAAAACATTTTTTTCAAATCAGTATAATAGACAGGAGAATAACACTAGAACCCACTTAATTTGAGATTTTTTTAAATATTAAACTTGAAAAAGCACTAGCAATTCTCCTGTACTGGACAATTCAGCAGTGGGTGTACAGGCTGTTCAGTTTTTTAGGGGAAAAATTTAATCTTAATTTTCACATTGTATTGGCATGACCAAAATCTATAGCTCTACATTTTCTGTAAGTTAATTTAATGTATATAAATCTATTTTAAGGGAATTAATGTATATAATCTTTACAATTTTGCCCTCATCTCCTTTTCTGTTTTCCCTTTCTGTTTCTTTTCTCCTCTTCCTTATGTTCTTAGTTCAGTTTTCCAGTTCTGGTCTTCTACCCACTTGTTCCTCACCCTGACCTTTTAACTTACTAGTAGTTATGACTTGTATTCGTGTGCCACCTCATTTTGTTAGTTACTGCAGAAACATGCAAAAAGAGGTCTGCACTGCAGAGTTTTGTTGGCATAACTATGTTGACTAAGAGTGCAAAATAAAAAAAATTGCAGAGTCTAGATGATTTAGGTATGCTGACAGAAACCCGGTTCTACGCCCAGCTTTGCCACCATAGTGCTTCTGTTGGTATGGCTTATATTGTCCAGCAGGTGGTGTGGCTATAATGGCAGATAGAAGCTCTTTCTGTCAGCACATGAAGGCAAGGTTGAGAAGAACATGCTGCATCTCCACCAGGGGGCCTTGCTGGCCTACAGAAACGGAGATCACTAGAGACTTGTCAAGTGCAAGCAAGTCCAAAGACAATCCAAACCCCAAAGAACATTCATGTCACAGTGGGATATCAGAAAACTCCACCATAAATCTTAATCTAGACCTTATTCCCTTGGTCACATTGCCTCTCAGTGCCCATGCTGTGCTAATTAGATAAGAAGATGGATTTGCTGGTTTAGCTGAGCTGAGAATTGCAAAAGGGGTCAACCTCACCACTTCTTGGGGACTGTACCTCTCCTTTGATTTTCTCTAACAGAACGAGGGGCAATATAGAGATCATATAGTCAAATTGTAAAAGCATGAATTAAACCCAACAGAGTTTAATCCATAAATACAGCCTCCATGCTACACCCTGGAGCATAACCCAGCCACTCGCTTTCACTCTCACAAATGCCAACTCCCTAAGATAAGACAATGTAGCTGCCTTAGAGGGCTGCTGAGCATATGCCCAGAGTCTCTCCTAGGCTCTCTGCCTTGGATGTGCTTACTAACATGAATCAACTAAAGCAGTATTTATAGGGCAACTTATGCTCCAGAGAGAAGTGTGCGGGAAAACGCAAAAGCTGACCATCTGTCAGGTCAGGAAAAGGAAAGTTCTGGCAAAAGTTTTCAAAACAAGTCGGACAATTTGGAGGCTTGGTCTATGCGAATGGTGTGGATTTTATACAGTGTAGACCCTACATGGGAACAAGTTTGTTATAAATTCTTTTTATTAGTTCAGCCCTTCTATTTACAACTAGTCTGTCTCCATGCTTAAATATAAAGAGTTCTTGTACCATCAGTGAGGAGAATTGGTAACTTTAGATCAAGGTTATGCCTTTCCTGATACACCTTACAACCCTCCAATTTTGCCTCTTAATTTAAACAAACTGACATCTATTAAATGTTCCTGCCCTCCTTCCACAGGAGAAAATTTATAAAGAAACTTTGAAGAATTTTCCAATTTTCTTTCAGGATAAGGTTCACTTTTTAAGCATCACAGTCCCTTAATAAAGAGAAGAGAAAGCTAAACTACATTTCAACAGGTTATGAAAGCTCTCTACTATTATTTTCTCAAATCTATATGTTTTCTCTTTCCTAAGGTTGGCAGCTCTGGCCTCATTTAGACCCTCACATTTTGACAGCTCTGTACACAGATACATGAAATGTCTTAACAGTTTAAGTAAAATAAAACCATACCTCTAAAAATTCATCAGTGCTATGCTCACTGGAGATTTGTGCAGTGGTAGAGAAGTACTTGAACTGAAATGTGTATGGATGGAAAATCCTGAGATTTACATATAAAATATCAAGATCATGAAAATGCACAAACTGTAAAGGTTAAAGCTGTGATTTAGGATGAAAGCAGAGGCGTCAGACATATTACATGTTCTATCAGTTGTGGATGGGGATTTTTTGTTCATAAATAGCATTAAAGGATAGAAAAAATATGTTGAATTTTTTCAAGATTCAAAATCCCCCTTTTTCAAAGATGTTTAACAGTATTATGATAGGGTGATAAGCCTATTATGGCAGATTTAATTCTTTCAGCTATAGAAATACATAATTTTTCAGAAAAAAAAACACCTAGATTTAACAGTACAAAATATTTTTTCCCAAGTAGAACTAGTATAGAAAGTAGGGCAAAGACTGAATCCTCTAGTTCCAGTGGTAACTTTGGAACCTTAAATGATTGCAGAAGTCAGGCTACATGAAAGTGCCTCTACAGTTATGGGAATTGAATACTAATCAGGAATTAGGATGGGAGGGTAAAGAACATGGAGAATACTCTACTCAAACTCAAACTGCAATCCTCAAATCCTTCACAATCCTAGAATATTTGAATCTTCTCTTCAGAAATATGACAACAGGCATTACAACTGGCGTTAGTAGGCTTCATCTTTAATAATCATTAAGATTACTGAAGATGCTTCATACCTCCCAGAGCTTTAGACTTTTGTCAGTGCGTTTGAAATAGGTATGGATGTGGACTACTATTAACTAGCCGCTTATGAAATTCATAAAGCAACACTGCATCTGTTCATATTTAGAAAGTTTTCAACCATCAAATTTGGGCTTACTACAGAAATGATTGAGTCAACTATGACTTGTGTTATGCAGGTCAGACTGAGTGGTCACAATTGTCCTTTACAGCAGTAAATCTGTGAATACATGAACTGGAACAATAGAAACATTTTCATTAAAGTGTAAGTATCACAGTACTATAAAACCTTGCATAATCTAAACAAGAATCTCAACACCTGTATAAAGGACCCTCCTTGCTTTTACCTCCCCAGTTAACCAGCAGTGACTGATTTGCAGTGCCTCTATATTTTGAATACCCTACTTGAGATACCTTAAATGTAGCTAATTTTCAGAGAGTGATAAATATTTGTCCTCTGAAAAAAATCAGACCCTTTTAAGGAGGGTACCTCAAACAGCTTCACAAAAAATTAAATGCCTCAAATTAGTCTTTTTTTTTAT